GTCTACGGTGGCTCCAAGCACGGTGGAAAATAGAAATGAGTTGAAGAGCAGGTGAAGCTCAATCCCGCCAGGACCTGCGAGAGGAAAAGGGGGGAGCCCTCCCCAAAGCTCATGGTAACCGTTAGCGTGGCAGCAGGAACGGAGAGCGAGCGCGCTGCCAAGTTCTTGATAACCGTCAACGGAGAGCGAACGCACTGGCCTGGGGGGGAAGGGCGAGTGCACTTGCGCTTCTTGGCAACCAACTAGGGGGGAATTTGTTTTTGAGAATGCACCTGCACCAGGAGTAAGGGACCACGCACACAAACATGAGGGAGTGGCCTTAAGTTGCGAACAAGGAGGTTGGGAAGGAGGGAAAATAGCAAGCAGACGAGGCAGGAAAAAGAGCGGAAGAGATCGCATCGAGGGAAGTGATTGGCAGCACGACGGAAGCAGAAGATCGATAGGAACTTCTGAGCGAAACAACTGAGACGGGAAAAACAATGGAAGAGATCACATCGAGGAAAGTGATTTGCAGCACGGCGGAAGCAGAGGATCGATAGGAACTTACGAACAAAACAGATGAGGCGGGAAAAAACAATGGAAGAGATCGCATCGAGGGAAGTTGTCGGCCGCACATCGGAAGAGGAGGATCGATGGGAGTCCGAGCAAGGGAGTGAGAGAGGATAAAAGAGTTTCGGAGGAGGGAAGAAGGGTTTTTTTTTGGGGGGTGAGGTGTTCGAAGCGCACGCTAGCGATCGCACAACAAGGGAGTCCGACGCTCGGCAGGAGAAGAACCCGTGGATGGACTTCGCCACGAGAACAGGGTGGTCGTGAGAAGGGAACTCGAAGCCGCGCCAGGGTCGGGCGAGAGCTGCCATAGGAGCAAGGAAGAGCGCCCGAGAGGGTTAGCGAGAGCTCAGCACTCGATGGAGTGAGGGTGCTTGCACGAGACGTACGGATGCTTCGCGTGGGCTTGCGCTCCGAGGAGAGGGCATCCGGTGGGTAAGGGGGACGGAGAAGGCGGAGTGCTGCGGGCTCAATGCATAAGGAGGTTGAGTAGGCGGAGTTAAGGGTGGGGAAAAAGACAGAGAATACAAGGAAGGAAGACGGGGAAGTTCGGTCCATAGCCAGGGGAGAAGGTAAGGGGCGCGATATTCACAGACGAGTCGGAGCCGATCGGAGCTCGATCGGGGCACGACGCCAGTGGCTCACTGCGCAAGACGGAGAATCGAGGGAGGGCAAGACTGGCACCAGTTGCAAATGACCTCGGTCCACGAACTTGTCAAGCTCCCACCAGAGGCGCTGAGCAAGTAAGCGAAATAAGCGGAGGAGTGAGAGAGCACGTAGGCAAGGAGAGTGAATACGAGCAGACCAGAGAGAAAGAGAGAGAGAGAGGGAGAAAGAGAGAGAGAAAGATAGATAGATAGATAGATAGATAGAGAGAGAGAGAGTAAGGCCTATATGGTGACCTCCTGTGATCGTGGTTGCAAAAATCGTTGCGGCCCGAGAGACTTCTAGCGTCGGAAGCCGCTAATAACAGTCTCCTGTGGTATGTTTTGGGTTATGTATCTGGACTAATCTTTGCGAAAAGTGCATTGACAATGTGTTCACTCTGAGAAGACTGAAGTTTGCGCCAAAGGGAACGCGAGAGAGAGAGAGAGAGAGAGAGAGAGAGAGAGAGAGAGAGAGAGAGAGAGAGAGAGAGAGAGAGAGAGAGAGAGAGAGAGAGAGAGAG